CCTCTGACTTGTCCTATACCGCCCGGGGTATAGAACTTCATACAGAGGTGGGCCATGGAGATGACCCCTCGAACCTTGTTTATCCCAGGCCGGCCCAAAATAGCGTTGTGAACACATTTGGTGTTCACAACTACAAACCTCATTTGCTTTTGGACGACCTGGTCGCCTGTGCCCAGCTCACAAGTTAGAAGAATCGACCCTTCAGCTTCGACTGAGTCCCCGGTAAACCCAGACAGGGGAGTCTTTAGGGGCTCAAGCCGTGTTCGACACAACTTGAGCTTCTCAAATGCCTCCAGGTACAAAATGTTAACACTGCTGCCCGTGTCAACAAGTACCCGGGAGACATCAACTCCACCCATGTCCATAGTTATCACCAGGGGGTCATTGTGATCTTCTCCGGTGGCGGGAAGGTCCCGGTCAGTAAAAGTGATCGGTTCCCGTCTTGCTTGTTTTGACCGGGGATTGAGGGCTACCGTCCCCACGTAGAGCTCTCTCCCCCACTTCTTCCTTTGGGAAGCAGAATCTCCCCCTTCCGGTCCACCGTAGATGACCTGTAAATGCTCCTTGCCGGCTGCTTTCTTCTTCTTGTTCTGTTCGGCCGGCTGTCCTTCAGGCCTAACCCATTGATTCTTCTTTGGTTTGGCTTGAGCCAGGTACTCAGGATCAATCTCCCCGGCCTCGATCATCTGCTTTATTACTCCTTTCACACTGTTACACTCTGTAGTGTTATGGGAGTCAGTTTTGTGAAAAGAGCAATACTTCTCCGTCCACTGTTTCTCGCCGGTTGGTTTCTTCTCTGTTTTGACCGGCTTTACCTCCATGATTTCAGCTTTCACCTTACCGGGCAATCCAATCTCCTTTTTCAAGGAAATCTTTCCTTTTGAATGGCCCTGCTCGGCCTCCCGCTTGGTTGACACCTATGCCTCAGCGTCAGCATAATCCCAGGCCGTGTTATAGGCCTCTTGGTAGGACTGGGGAGGCCTCCTGCAGAATTCTTTGTAAAGCTCTCCGGACCGGAGCCCGGACACAAGGAGGGACATGGCTGTTTTGTCGTCCATCTCCTCCACCTTGTCAACTTCATCCTTCCACCGGGTAAGGAATTTTGTCAGATCCTCGTGCTCTCGCTGCCCGGCTGTACTCAAGTAGGTGAATTTTTTCCTCTTGGTACAATTTTCCTTAAACTTTTCTTGAAACACCTCAGCCAGCTCATCGAAAGAATCGATTTCACCGGCCGGTAAGTTATGAAACCACTCGGCGGAGCGGCCGCGGAGGGTTTGAAAGAAAAGCAAACATTTCTCATCCCCGGAAAGACACATCATCCGCCCACTCTGATGGAGGGTTTTGACGTGAATTTCCGGGTCCTCCTTCCCGGTGAACTTCGGGACTTCAAGTTTCGCCTTCTTTGGAAACAGGGTCTCATGGACCCGGTCTGTGAATGGAGATTCGTTCAGCAGAATCTTCTTCTTTTCTTCCCGGTCTACTCGGCGTTGCAGTTTCTCCAGACGTGCCTCGACCCGGCCTACACGATCCCGAGGTTGTTCAACATGAGAACGGGTCAGATGCCTGGGGTGGCTTTCGGCTTCTTCCTCCCGCGGCGCCCGGCTGTGCTGGGGCTCATCGCGTGGGGGTGGTTCCGTTCGCCTGGTCTGACCAGGTCGTCTGGCTCCTCTCCCCGCACGATTAAAGGCACTAGCCGGGATGGTTTCCACTCCCAACCGTTCCTTTGCTGACCGGTTTTGATTTCGGCCATCGTGTCCCAGCCTTTGGAAGGCCGACCTCCTAGATTCCTTCTGGTTGAACATCCTTTCCCTTCAATTTTTTGAGCGCTTGGGGGACGTCCCAATCCTCGTCCTTGCTGTGGACTGAACGCACATTCCCGTCCGAGGTCACCTTTGTTTGTGACCTACGGGACCGGCTTCTTCTAGACCGGGATGGACCTGCTTTATCCATCTCCCCGATCAGGTTTGTCGGGACGATCGGGCGAATGATGTTAATTTGAGGCGAGGATTGTGGATACAATCCCGGATAAAAAGGTGAAAATCCTCCCGGCTGCTGGAACATGGACATGAAATGTCCAAAATTCTGAAGAGCCTGGGTATACATTGGATCAAGGGGTCCGGGAAAATTTGAAGGAAAAACAGGAACAGGGTTCACGGAGGAAGTGAATGGGATAGGTGGTGGAATGGTGATAATGGGGGTCAGAGTCTGGCTTGCCTGTTGTGTACTTCCTCCCGGGAACGAAGTTACGTTCTCAGCGGGAGTAGAAATTTGTGAGATCACGGTTTCCTGATTACTGGCCATGACTTTTTGTAATGGGTCCCACGGATGGCGCCAATTTGATGGTGTAAATTACCACGCAAACACTAAGTAAAAGTAATCGGAAGGGCTGTAGGTGGAAACACCTGTAACCCGGTTTGTTATTGATAATGCTGGGACTATTACAAAGTACAAGCCGTGAAGGTTTATTAAAACATACCTCACAAATGAGGATTTTAGGGGTATTTATAATAAAGCTAAGCACGTCAAGCACGTCTCTGGTTATCCAACCGGTCAGCCTTCTGACCGGTCCCATAAAGCACCTGGAGAGCCCGGTCTGAGGAAAGTGCGCTCTGCCACTTCGACCACCACCCAGTCGGACGAACCAACCGGGTGGCATCCATGGGTATTTACCCATCAAATATAATTCACCAAAAAATCATGCTATCAATTTCCTTTATAAATAGATTGCTAATGATGCCCTCCCTTAAACTTACCAAATGAAGTGTGAATACATCATCAATTACACGATAGTTTTCACAATTTCACCTATCTACACTATAGAAGAAAAAAAGAAAGGTATGCAAAGAGGTTCCCAAGAAGTTGAAGAAAAGATGATGATTTTGTAAAATAAAAAAAGATATATAAGGTAATATAAGTGTAGAAGGAAACTTTTGGTAGTTACTACTCCATATGTATTACTCTGTATATATTTCCTAAACAAAACTAAAAAAAATCACTCAAATAGAAGTAAGACATAAATCTTATGCCCAGAATAAGAGTTCAATATTTTTATTTCCTAAATAAAGTTTACACAGTGACGTTGTGGCATTGTATATTACCATTTCATAATGTTTTTAGCACTATATAATAAAATATTGGTATTTTAGTTAATATTTTGGAGATTAAAAATATGAAACTCATATTTTGGCACTTTCTCTATATTATAATCTTATTTTAGTTTTTTTCCCAAATAATTATAGTGGCACTTCGTAATCCGTATAGGTGGTAGATGATTTGTTAAAATGTTGCCATGTAGACTCACCACTTATTGTAATTGTATGAGTTTAACTCTTAAATATAATATATAAAGATAAAGATTGGCCTCGATATATGAAAAAACAATTTTTGTTTATCTATAAATGCAATATCAATAATCTTTTTTAAAACGTTGTTTTGAAATATGAATTTTCATAAGATACGATAAATATAAATATTGATATTAATGATCAAAATATTATATTGGAGAGCGTTAAAAGTTAAATGAGAAGATTAAATCTACTTATACAATGAGGAGTTTTAACATGGTCATTTTTTTCAAGATATGTAGCAACCAAACCCATTCTTTTTGTTTAGCATAAGACCACTAACCTAAATATAAAATTAATAAAATTCATTCAGAGAAGTAGGTGCATAATTAATTATTTCATAAAAATGGATGAATCTAAATCACATTTTATGCAAAAATATACTCCCTCCGTCCCTCATAGATCTTCTCATTAACTCTTTTTATTTGTCCACCAAAGATCTTCTCATTACTTTTTTTAACAATTAAAATACATATCACAACTATCCCCACTTACTTTATTTATTACACATCATCTACCTTATTTAATACACTCCACCCATTTTCATTAAGGGTATTATGGTAAACTTTCACATTTTTTCAACTCTCCCTAAAAACCACAAAAAGTCAAAATGAGAAAATCTTAAAGAGACGAAGGGAGTAATTCTAAATCCAAAAATAGAAAGTGTTCTTTACCCCCCCCCCCCTATACGTATATATGGTAAATAAATTAGTATGTTTAAATAATTCTAAAAACTTTATTCATTAACTGTCTCAGTTCGCTTTGCTGTCAAATGCTTGAATAATTATTTTTAAAAATATATAATGAATTAAAGTATTAAAAATTAGACTATAATCTCAAAATAAAAAATATGTTTGATAAAAAATTTCATTGGTCAAACATATCATTCAAAAAATGAACCGGGTGTTAAAAACAATAGAGTTACTAATTCTTAATATTAACTGCATGAAACTAAAAAGACAAATAATTTAGTCACTATGTTCAATCAATAAAAAATAAAATAAAATAATGTCAAATCAATACTCTGTATGCTGACCAAAATTACCAACTCATTAAAATAATAAATAGACAACAGATGATTTATTTAAAATGTCATATTAGACATGCAAATATCATGTAAGCCAGAGTCTCAAATTTTATAATAAAAGCCTTAAAAGGAAGGATTAGCCAATAAATATCATTAGCAATTAATTAAAAGTTTTTTATAATTAACATTTATAACCTCTTAATTATAATTACTTTACATATACCTCGTAAAAGTTTTTCATATGTGCAATAATTGGGAATGAATATTTGCTCTAATAAGATGTTTTCATACTTTAAGTTAAAATTGCCAATTCACTTAAGTCATCAAATGTGGCTGATGATGTGTAAAAAAAATTTGCCAAGTAGGCTGCCACATGTCAAATTTCTGAGAGTTTAACTCCAAATATTATATATAAAGGATGGATTTGACAATATTTCAAACTATCATCACACTTTATCTCAACAGATCAAACTACTCATTTATCTATATTTAAAAAAGAAAACAAAAACCAATAGAGATTTGAAAGACCAACCATAAGTATTCTTTTACTTACTAATGACAAATACATAATGAATTGCACCCAAAGTGTTGCAATTGGTGTGTTCCCATAATAACCAAGACAAATTGTCAAACACACTAGGAATAAATTCAAAATAACTAACCAAACACTACCCAAAATTTAGGGGACAATCCATTTTTCTTCATGCTCTATGAGCATACAACTTCTAAACATAGACAAATGTGCCCTCCACCGAAGAGATCATCCGTTTCGCCGCAGAAGAGCCAACAATTCTTCCCAACTGAATGTCACAAAAAAAACATAAAACTTCCATAACCCAAAAAAGAACAAAATTTAGAGGTTAAAAAAATAGAAATCACCGGACTAAAACATAGAGAAAAGTACCAAAATAGGACTTTTATGTTTTTTTCCTCGAAATAGGACTTTGCACTGTGGTAATGTGACTTTGCCCTGTTGTAATGTGGCAGTGTACATGTGCAAATTACTATACTTTTTGGTAATGTATATGACCATGTATGGTAATGTAAGTCCTATTTCGGGAATAAAAACATGAAAGTCCTATTTTGGTATATCTTCAATGTTTTAGTCCTACTTTGGTCTTTCTCCCTTAAAAAAATAGTACCTCAATTCCAATGTACTCACCCAGCTTGACTTAAAATTAGTAATGCATATTAGTATAAAAATGATTACATTATACTCCCTCCGTCCACAAATAATCTTCCCACTTTCCTTTTTCACCCGTCCACAAATTATCTTCCAATTTCCTTATTTGGTAACTTTTTAGTATCAAAAAGACTTATTTACCCTCATTCATCTACTCCGTATCTTCTGTTTTTCTTTCTTCCTACCCTATCTTTCCAGTAACCCCCTGCCACCCCAATTCTTCTTCTTTTCTCATTTTTTCTTCTTTCTTTTCCTCTTCCTCACCTCTCCAATTGTGTCCAGCCAGCCGCCCCCTCATCTTCTTTGCTACTACTACCACTTCTTCTTCTTTCTTCTCATACCAATTTTGTCCAGCCACTAAACCTCTCACCATCTTCTTTTCTTCTTATTCCCTGCGGTGATATCAACATGGATAGATCTGATGATTTGAGTATTCTTTTTCATTCAATCATCTGAGTCATCGAGTCTTCTTCTTCATTAGATTTGAAGGAGTAAGTTTTGTTTTCGCCAGATCTGAAAGTTGTATAGGACTTGTCCACCGAGATAGAGGGTTGTCGACCAGTGGTGTTCAATTCGTAGAGGAAGAAGACTAAGTGGAGGTCCTGACCATTGATTTCTGGTGCTGCCGGTGATGAGTTGAAGAAGGACATACGGGAATTTGGGTAGAGAGGCTGGAATCTGGGTGTTGTCGGGGTTTGGTTGGGACGACTGGTATTGTCGGTGATTTGGATAAGGCAGGGAGGCTGGGTGAGTGAAGGAGGAGGGAGGGGTATTTTGGGAAAGTGAACTACATTTTCACATTACCTAAATCTGCGTGCCCGGTCAAAGTGGGAAGTTTAATTTTGGGCGGAGGGAGTATTTATCTTATTGAGAACTTTTAGAAATCGACTTCATTGTATTAAAATGCTATACAAATTGAAGGTAATTGATGAATTAAGTTTGTCTTGTTTGAGTAAAAAAGTCAAACTAGACAAATACATTGAGACGGAAGGAGTAAGAAAGATGACAAATTAAGTGAAATAACTCAACAACGCACCCACTAAAATCTCACAAGTAGGGTTCGGGGGGGGGGGGGGGNAATTGATGAATTAAGTTTGTCTTGTTTGAGTAAAAAAGTCAAACTAGACAAATACATTGAGACGGAAGGAGTAAGAAAGATGACAAATTAAGTGAAATAACTCAACAACGCACCCACTAAAATCTCACAAGTAGGGTTCGGGGGTACACAAACCTTACCCCTACTCAGAACTAAAGAGGTCGTTTCCAACAAACCTCTGGCTCAAACATAGAGCCATAAACAAATTAAATATAGTACGAACAAAGTAAGATCACAGCGAGACGAAACACACATGCTGACACTAGCAACTAGACCCAAAGCACGGAAATCACATATGCACCAGCATAAGGTGCAAACTAAGGCCCAAAGGTCAACCCAAATACTCTAACACACAGAAGCACGAATAAAGAAATACTGTAACATAGGGGCAAGAAGCACACATACTTGAAGCATGTCAAGGCGAGAAAACAGAACTGTGCAATCTGTTCCTTGCAGCATGTTAACAATCTGCAATGAATTGAAAGAAGCAGGGTAAATCACTAAATTAATACCCTTTGTGCAGTTTCATGAACAAGAAAGTGTTTATGAGAGGTGACAAAACCATGCTATTGCTAACCTCGGGGTAGAATTCCTTCCTCTCTGGAAGAGAATAGATGATCAAGTTTTGAATGCCACGGATCTTTATCAAACAAGATTTACAAACTCCCGGTTAATTTTGCAATAAAAACCCATTCTTTTGTACAATAGAGTATTACGCAATATACAGAGAAACTCCAAAAATAATATTTACATTGAAGAAAAAGAAAACCTTGTATCGGTGATAGAAGTGTGCTCTCTCAGTGTAAAGTATGATTTTCCGCTGTCCGGAAAAGAACCAATTACGGGCACGAGATGTATCACTCGGTTTTGCATAACTATTTACATTTAAAAAAAGAAAAAAATATCATGTTGGATCCTAAAAATGTGATACTTTACACAAATACTCAAAAATTGCAATTCGTCCCTAGAGCTTCAAAAAATATTATTACAATAATACTCCGAGATTGCATATTGATCGAAGATACGCCTTAAAAATCGGGAGATCCATCTAACTAATAATTCTCTTGAAGTATTGTTGTGAACTTATTGAATTCCTAGGAGCGTGCGTGATGATTATGCAATCTTGGAGTATTTATGTAAAAGAGAAGATGGTTTCTTACTCTCCCAGCTTACAATCATGCGATCTTGAACTTTTCCTTTTAAAAACAAAACTAAGGTGTGTGTGTGTGTGCGCACACACACATGACGTTCTACTTCCAAAAGAGAAGATGGTTTCTTACTCTCCCAGCAAACAAAAGGATGCCTCTTGCGCCCTCAAAAAATTTCTAACTCGGACATAGTCAAAGTAAGAACTGATGAATATCATGGTGCCACCCTGTTGAACAAATGCCCAGTAGTAAACTGTCTACTAAAGGAGGAACATGTAGGAAAAGAAAAGGAGGATATGTAGTTTGAGAAATCCAATCAAAACATACCTGTATTGAATCCTTAATCTTAGGAAACACCTGCATTTTAAAAATAAAAAAAGGCATAAGAACTAAAGTGTCCTCTTGGATTAAAATATGCCGCACAAACTAAAAATAATCTCGAATATATTTATATATCCATCTTAGCACTTGTTTGGTTGGACATGAAAGAAGATGGAAGGGAGTTATGGCATCTCCCAAACTCCTCATATATTGCTTACGCAATTTGGGGGAGCTTTCTGAGCAGGTTGTTTATGGATGTAGAGTTTAACATCTAACACATACAATGGTGCTCCATTGTGTCCATAACAGGGTCCCCCCTACCCCACTCCCCCCAAAAAACCAAGAACTTAATTCCAACTTAAAAAAGTATCAAACATGTCATATTTTATTAGTGTTAAACCTACATTACACACACTACTACAAAAAATATGAAATACAATATCTTTTAGATATTTTTATGAAAAAACCCCTTAATCCCTCCACACCACACTAACCAATATATTCTTTCAATTTTCAACTCTGCTATTATATTTTCTTTAATTACCTTTCTAAAGAATACTAGAACTTCCTGTAGTATGACACAAGCACACAACCCAGGATAGCTTTGTGTATTTTAATATGTGAGATCATTTTTATTTATGTAAGTACATAAAAATATGGATGCGTGAGAACTGCAAACAACATAGTTACCTTATTAGTGAAATATTCAAAACGAGCATCTTCTGCACCAACTATTGTCTCAGCATGAAAACGTAGATAAACCTGTAGAGTGGACATGTAGAAACCCATGTTAAATGGTCGAGTGTATTGGTACGAATGGAAATAATGTAGTGCATAAAACCACCTCAAAGTATAGTGATTAAGATACCTGGCGTACTTGAAGCACTATTTTAGGAAGAACGCCCTTATAGTTGCAAACCAATTTAATCTACAAAGACAAGTCGTACATGAGAATCCTTTATAACATACTCCCTCCCTCGTGAAATGAACTTCAGTGCCTGACTTCACAGAGTCTATTTTGGGATGTAGGAAGTAAACAGCTTCTTATGAGTACTTGTCAATATTCATTTAATGTAAATCCTCAAAGATAACAAGAACAACAAACCCAGTAAATCCCGCAAAAAGTAAGGTCTGAGGGGGGTGTATGTACACAAAGCTTATCCCTACTATGACATAGAAAGGCTGTTTCCAAGACACCCCCAACTCAGACGAACAAAGAAACCACATATGCACGAACAAAGGACGGATAAGGACTAAAGAAGGATACAAACCGACTCTAAGAACTAGACATAAAGCACAAAAAGCACACAAGCACATGCTGTAGGCTAAGGCAAAAAAACACACCAGGAAAAACTAAAAACTAAGGCCTACTGGTGACTCTAATCCTAGTTCTCTAGGCGTTGCTATCTAAGGTTATATCATCCCTCGGTAATATCATAAAGAAAGCCAACAAAATGCGAGTCAATATTTGGTATACAAACCTTTCCCTCATAGTTGAGGCAATGATGGTTGAATAAAGCATTGATGTCTGTAGAATCATGTAAAAGAAAATTAAAAAATGGTTAACCATTATTAATACTTAAGTCTCATTTTTTTCAAACAAGCTTTCATTGCAGACAAACACCTTGGTTCTCATGTGAACTTAATATCATAGTTTGTCTATAGAATTGTGCATGTCCGTCCAAGTACCTACACTCATTTAAAATCAAATCAATACTCAGAATTCAAAAAGTAACATTACGTTTGGTTCAAGGGATCACGGAAGAAAGGAAAACGCTTAGGAAAGGAAAAGAAAGTAAAAGGAATCAAAAATCTTAATCTTGTTTGGTTAGTAGGAAAATTGGTGAAGAAATTATTTTAAAATAACTTTTTGTTTGGTTGTTGTAGAGTAAACATAAAAAAGACATTGTTCAAGGAGAGGATGGGTGGAGGGAGTGGGGGCAAAAGAAGGGGAGGGAGAAGTTTGTTGTTTTCTCTACTTCTCCTCTCAAAAAAGGTAGGAAAACAAATCAATTTTCAAATTTTACTTTGCATTTTTCTAATGTTTTCTTTCCCACCCAATTTTCTTTTCTTTTCCTTTTTAACCAAACACCAAAGTTTTATTTCATTACTATTTTGTTTTCCTCTCCCTGTTCAATTCCTTGAACCACCAGACATAGTGTAAGAGTAGAGTAAACAATATAACAATAAAATGCAGACAACAAAACCTACCATTGTCTTATGCGCATAATATCTGTTCCATGCTGCTGAAAAGGTATGGTGTTCAGTTTCTTAACCACGTCAGCCACGTGGGACCAATTCTAAAAAATGTATAAAAAAACTAAAATTAAAACAAACAAAGAAATAAGAGCTTATGGGAAAAAGAGCATAATGGAAACACAATAATAAATCAAGCACATATAGTCTGTAGCATACCTGCATTACCATAATATCTGCATGATCAATAATTAGAACCTGTTTTACACACACTATCTTAGTATTTATAAAGGAATGACCATCATTATGGTATAAGTACAACCCTGAAGACAGGATTACCTCTATAGAAGAAAGATAATCAATATCTTTTTCTTTAATCTTTTCACTCTCCCCGATTTTCTGAAGTTAATAAAGATATAGTCAAGTTGTAGATAGAAAATAAAATTGGGTCAATTAATTAGGACGATAGGAAACGGATGATGATTAGAAGAGATGTTTCAGTTGCACATTTAATGAATGAAATTCGGAAAATAAAAATTGAAACCTGATAAAAACTTAACCATCTAATTGTGAGAAAGCTTACAAGGACTAAAGCAAGAGGAGATGCAATNGAAAGATAATCAATATCTTTTTCTTTAATCTTTTCACTCTCCCCGATTTTCTGAAGTTAATAAAGATATAGTCAAGTTGTAGATAGAAAATAAAATTGGGTCAATTAATTAGGACGATAGGAAACGGATGATGATTAGAAGAGATGTTTCAGTTGCACATTTAATGAATGAAATTCGGAAAATAAAAATTGAAACCTGATAAAAACTTAACCATCTAATTGTGAGAAAGCTTACAAGGACTAAAGCAAGAGGAGATGCAATAATTATATCCGAAGAATAGAAATCACCGTATAATCGTATACTCCTCCTACAAAGTATGAACAAAAGAAAAAAATTGAACACTATAATCAAATGTAGAAGAGTACATGCCAAGCAATAAAAAAACTATACAAAGAACTCAAACGGTTAAAGCCACTGCCTAGGGTTTCTAAATCATTAGGAGCTGAAAGAAAAAATGGCAATCCACAATTTTACTGCACTTTTTTTCAAGACACATACCTGTTAAACTTTATCCCTAGCATGAAGTCGTCGTTGTTTTTTCCTCCAAACAATGCTTTGTGATCAGAAGGTTTAGATGTCTTTATATCTTCATCTTCCTCATTAGTTGCAGCACTTTCAAACTGTCGCAAAAAGCGCTCAAGCTCTTCTATCTTAGTCTGAGGAAACCAACACCGCAAAAAAAAGGTTATATATCACAAAAAAGGTCACATCTTCCCATCACAATGCGTGAAACAATGTGATGTGGACTAAGGGTCTTTTGTCGTCACTTGATTTTCCTTGATTCGTCTTTTACACTAATCTTCCCACTTTGTTATATTTTGAATCCCAATATCCTTTGGATGTCAAAGAAATAATTACGCTTCTCATATTGTTAGTATTAGTAGCCGATTTTTATTGATTTTCGATTAAATATGATCTAAAAATAAGGGTCGAATTCTAGATTGGAATTGATCGCTTTGGGCACGCCATATTAAAATACAATTACAATAAATGACATTAAATTAAAATAGAACTCGTGTATCACAATGAACCCTAAAAACCATACCCACAATGATAATTCTGACAAGAAAATATTCCTTATTATCTCTTGTATTAAAATTTGCAATACATTCTAAAAAGAAAAGTGTTGATGTATTATATTAAAGCATACACTTGAGGTCATAATTTTTAATTATGAATATTGCAAATTTTGACTTAGTGCTACCAAATTCAAATGAGTTAACTTACCTTGTACTTTGGAGGTGTTAACTCGATCAACCTTCGAACTACTCGAAGTGCAATGCTTGCATATGGCAAAAGAATCAAAACCTGAAACACAACAACCAATCAAAGATATTCCTATAAATACCACACAGCTAGATAGGGAGATAATAAATTCAGTAGAAAATTCAACCTCTAGAAAAGTCTAAGATTGGACTTACCCCAATATTAACTTTATGTATAACCACTCTAATCCAACATAAAATTTACACAAAGAGTATTTTCCCAGTAGAACTAATAAGTTTATGCATTGATACACAAACAAAAGGATACCTTAGGACGAGTAAACCCGTGGTCAAGAAAGGCATCACTGTTCACAACATCCCTTTGCATGTTCCCCTGTGCCTTAGTCAGTTTTGCTTTGTTCTTCTTCACAAGATCCCTAGTCAAGAATACATGATTAAGCTGCAAAAAAAAAGGCTTAGGAAATGATGGATATTTAAAAAAAATGTTGACAAGGAAATAGTACACAATGTGATTGGATACAATAAGGAATTGGCTTACCGAGTGCACAACATATGCATCCATGATGCTGGCATCCTCTTCCCGGCCTTTGAGATAGAATGGCTTCTTGTTATGATGCAATATGTCTCGATAGCTGTTGCCTGAGCATTAGATAAATAATAAGACAACACTACAGAAAGAATATCAGTAGAATAAACTTCAAAAATGACACTAAATAACATTTAAGTCATGAGTTCAGGTTCAGTATACTCTACTCTAAATGTTTTCTAGCATCCTATTTTATATTTAATATTAGCCATACAACTTGTTAGAAACCTCAAAAAACAAATCTATTTCGAAGAGTATCATAAAATAGACTCAAGAACTTGCTCATAAAACATAGTATTAGACATATGATAAAAGAAGCAACAAGAACATGGAGCCACGTCGATGTAATCTATATTCTATATCACTCACAAATGGAGAAGAATGATCTCTGCTTGGATGAATTGAAATCCTGGCTTCCAGACTCCTTGTAAGTGTCCAACCAATGTTTATACAATGCTGATTTTAGACCATAACATGAATTCACATCTAGTTCCTACAGACCAAATTGAAAGCATACAAAGTCAGCATCAAAAACTAAAACCTACTCCCTCCGTCCAAGTAGAAACTTCTCGTTTTGACTTGGCATGGGTTTTAATGTAAGATAAAAAATACTTTGACTTTCCCAATTTGCCGTTTCAATTTTTTGTCTGTTCCTTCGTCTTCCATCTCACCCTCAGTCCATTTTCCCCTACCTTTTCCTTTGTCGAAAATGTGTCCACTCCCCAACCCCTTCTGACAACCGAGAAAAGCCACACAAATGAAACCAAAATTGAATCGAACAAAGAAGAGATGAAGAGAATAAAAAAGAAGGTGATGAAGGAAGCTTGAAGATCTAAAAGCTTTATTGACAGCTTGTAATCCCCAACAATGAAGCTTGGTTTTAAATTTAAAATCCCAATGACCCAATCACATGAAACAAAAAAATTACCAAGCGAAGGGCGACAGAGAACTTAGATCTGGAGATGAAGTTAGTTTGGTTTTTAATTGAAAAGAACGAGAATAGCAATTTGGTTTTAAATTTAGAAACAAGATCTGAAACCAAATCTGAGAATAAGAAGAATTAAGATCTCAACAAGAAATGAAGCTTCTCTAATGCCATTCGTCGCCGTACTTTGAGGCAGCCATTCGCCACCGCCCTTTGCTGTTGCCATTCATTGTCGCCCTTCATTGCTGCCATTTGTCGCAAGGATGATGATTAAGGAAGGAAGGTGGAAGAAACGGAAAAAAAAAAGAAGACTAACCATGGAGAAGAAATTAAAGGAGATGGGGGGAAAGAAAGAAGAAAGTGATGAAGAAGAAAGTGGGTGAAGACAGAGGAAAGAAACTGACGAAGAAAAAAGTGGGGGGTGGGTGGAGGTGGAGATAGAGGAAAGGAAGACAAAAAAAGAAAGTGGAGGGTAAATTAGTCTTTTTGATATAATTTGTTTGCCAAATAAGGAAACGGGAAGAAACAAGTGGGATGGCCCAAAAAGGAAAGTGAGAAGAAAGATATGGGACAGAGGGAGTATATTACATTTACAAATAACAAATGCATGTACCATGTAAAGGAAAAAAATATGAATTCAAGGAATACATATATGTATGCACTTGCACATGATATTTTATTATTCACAAAATGTCACATTGTAGCATATAACTTTGGCTGGAAGAATAGCTTGGGGACATGTATACATAGTAAAGTGTTAGTGAGAGATAAATACTAAATTGAACTACACAACAAAATTCTCAATGGTAAAATCCCATATTTTTTGTCAAGTTATCAGGATTTATAGGCTGACGAGACACCCATTGGGTATGAGCATAAGTTGATCCAAAAAATCGAGCATGAACATTAGGGTACCAAAACTGAGTTGATGGCTTAATTTACATGTATACGATGTATGTGTGAAGGGCAAAAATCCATGAGCATATAGAAAAAATATGAAAGCTCACTAATTATGTGATTACCACCCCAAAGTTGAAATTGGCAAAAATAATTGCCTCCAAAGGGGGTGCTCGCACTTGCTTAAAGTTTTGAAAAAGTAGTTATTTTGAACACAATCCCAAAGTGCCTCAAAGATGCTTATCAACTTCTAACTTTCTATTTATGTTAGAACCTGTGAATTAGACACCAAAAGCACTATCAAACAGCTTGCTTAAAGTTTTGAAAACTAGTTATCTTGAACACAAAATCCCAAAGCGCCTCAGAGATGCTTATCAACTTCTACCTTTCTATCTATGTTAGAAGTTATGACTTATGAATCAGACACCAAAAGCACACTCAAACGGCTCCTACCTAACACAAATGGTGATAATCAGCCACCAAAAGCAGTAGCAAACACCCTCAAAGGCAGCAACACTGTGCACATTAGGCATGTATTTATAGGAAAAACTTACCTTCAGAAAGTTTTCACCCGTACCCCTCCACTTGCAATTTGACTCCTCCGACTCCCATTTGTAAGTCCACTTTTTTTCCAACAGCTTGTTAACCTCTTCCTGGGACAACTTGTATCCCAAATGTTTGTGAAAGGTGCTACAAGTATAAGTGTGTCTTAGAAAATCATGTATTCCAGATTTTAAACATGCTTTGCAGCAATTCAGCTAGAGGGGCAGGGGCATTACAGAAGATAAGATTCAGAGTTTAACAATTGTGTTACTTTAAAACATAAACTCACACCATACATCCAGCATATATATATATTTATGTATGTATGTATATGTATGCAGAATGCTGAAATATTGAATATAAGAGCAACAAAAGAAGTTTATAAGAGCACTAAAATACTTAGTACAATTAAAAGCGACAAAGTTCATGACAAAATAGACGAGGGAGCATCCGAAACTACCATACCTTGTGTTTGATAATGTTCCAACAACATCATCTTCTTCATCTATATCTGATGCCTCAGAATCGGCATCATCTCCCAAGTCATTTTCTTGGTGATCAGGTATTGAAGGCTCACCATCACTTTCTACCATTAGGAGGAAGATAATATTATAATACCTTAAACATCTAGAATGACTATAACCTCACCATTTTTATTATGATTCGCCTGCCTATGTTTTCTATATCTAAGCTGCCTTCTAGAAAGTAACTCCTTGCATGCCCATTTAAGAAGGCATACAAAGGAAAAAAAGTGTTGCAATGACTTGAAATTGGAAGAGACATACGACAACAACACCCCAGTAAGGTCCCAAAATTGGGGGAGGCATACAACAACAGTAACTCCCATATAATCCCAACCCCATTGGGGTATGAGGATCAAGATGCACAAAACCTTACCCCTTTAAAGAACAAAAAGATAGTTCCCTTCGACCCTTGATGCATTGTTTTATTTACAGGCTCAACTTCATACAAAGTTAGAAGCAAGGAGGTTTAATGTGTCACTTAGATTTAGTCCACTATTTACCTAAAGCAAAAACATGATCAAAAGGTTACTCTTTTAGATCTGTTGGCAATGAGCACAAAATAAAAATAATCCTTAAAAATTCAAAACCAAGAATTGCTAAACTTAGAGTATGTTATCGAGGCTTTTTTAGCCACAAATTATGTTCCTCACCTTCTGTACTCTCTTCATTTCCATCATGTTTCTCTTGATCATCTGAATCCTCTTCTGAACCAGCTGTAACCACTTTTTTCCTACTTGAAGTGGAAATTTTCAACAAGGCAATACATCATCGAATTGCACTCTTTAGTTTTTTAATAGCAGATCTAGCAAGCTAATATTAATAATACGCTATAGAAGTCTGAAAACCCTAAATTGCCTAAGATAATGTCTATCTTATTAGCAGGGAGACAAACTAGAACATTTAATTAGATGGCTGGGTGATGTTGTCCCCCCCCGTGTTGACAAACAGAGACTAGTTACCTCAATGACCTCAACAAATTATCATACATCGTTGGCTCTTTATGAATCATTACTTCATGTCTGATTCCATTTTCTTTCTCTAACTTCCCATTGGATTGATCATCTATGGAATGAAAAAGGTGATCAAAAACAGAAAGATACAAAGAGAAGATGCTTTTTTTCAATAACTACAAATTTAGTAAATTATATGAAGTGTTCTTCAAACTAGCCTGAACCATTAAAGAGTGGGTCTTCTTCCATCTTCTTGTCACTAACGACGCGCTTGTTCTGCCAAAATGGCTCTTTGTTGTTTCGTCTCTTCATACCTGTGATTCTCCAAATACAATTTAAAGAGATTCAAATTTTAAGATGAACAATTTTTGTGCAATTAATGAATGTCAATCAAATACTATAGCTGTTGAGAATATCAATCAGGAACCTGTCCTTCTCTGAAATTGTTGTTTTCCCATTTTTGAACTTAAATCAAGCTCCAAACAAGTTGTAATCCAATTGACTTTTATTCCCTGTTTTCAAATCCAAATGGTCCAAACAAACTTTAGTATCAAAAATTGGAATCCTAGATGATGGTATATTCTTCAACATGGGGTTCTTTTGATATTGATTCTGGGTGTCAACACCGAGGCCCTAAAATGCCCCGTTTGGGTCTCAAAGTGGGTCCTACCCTCCTAACCCCAACAACTCCCCCCCATAACATTGCTGATTAGCTACAGTACCACTTTGGATTGAGGGCAATGGTTTGTGGTGGAATTAAGGGGTAGGAAAAGCAGGACCCACTTAGAAATCCAACGGAGCATCATAGAGACTAGAGATGGCCCGATGTCATATTATGACACCCAAAGTGGGTATCAAGAAAGCCCCAGCCATTCTTCAACTAGACAAATATACTAAAACTCATATTACATAATAATAATAATAATGAAGCAAAAAAAACCCTGCAAATGGAGTCAATCATTGCATGTACTATATGATACCTGATCTTTTTTATGAGGAAAACCATCACTGTAATCTAGACAACACCTTTTTTTTACTACTCGTGGAATTAGTTACATTTCTGTCAAGCTGTTGGAACATATAGTGGGTGTTTGGTATGCGGCATATTAAGTAGCATAATGCGCTCTTTCTTTCTTTCTTTTCATTATGACTTTAAAGTTTAAATGCTCAGTAGCAATTTTAGGGGTCAAAATGCTTATTATGTTAGCATTTATATCATTATATCTAGCATTTTTTTGAACACTTTAAAAAACAACACATTACATTTACTTTTTAGCATTCAGTTAAGTTACCAAACATCTTTTTCAACACAGCTAATTAATGAATGCTAGTCAAACTGGTTAATACAAAGGGTTATATACATTTTTCTCAAACACTTCATAATAAAGATAATGTATTTCTACTGGTGAAAAATATAAGAGCATTAAAAAGGAAGCAAAACGGCAGAGCATAACAATTACAGAATTAAAAAAAATACTCCTAAAAAACTTAAATGGTACGAGGAATAAAACGCTAAAACGAACTGAGAGTTTAAAAAGAATAAAATTGGGAAACCTAGAAGAGGTAATCACTAGCCTGAGGTCGCCGGAAGCGGAGCAATGACGGCGGAGACGGGGAGACAGTAGAGGAACAAGACAAGCCACGCGCCGGCCTCGGTGGTCCGGTGTACTGAAAAGGATGAGGAAGGGCGCTGCTGGAGGTGGGGTGCTCGGCGCCGGCGCTGAAGAAGGGAAAGGAAAAATGAGAAAAGGATGAATAGAAGAAGTGCTTAGGCGGGCCGGCGGGGGATTGGGCTGCCTTAGAATTTAGAAACAAGTACTTTTATTTACTCCCTCCGTCCCGGAGTATTCGTCCAGTTTTGACTTTTGGAACTGTTCATCTAAGCACTTTGACTCATCAAATTCTCTCAATGTGTAAGCCTAAATATAGTCATGTGTGATTTTGTTTGATTTGTTTTAACATATAGATTATTAATATATAATTTCTATAATTTTTTAATATACAAATTACAAGATAAAATGGATTAAAGAAGTGCGTTGGATGGTGTGTAAAAATGAAAGTGGACAAATACTCTTGGACGGAGGTAGTATTTCTTAGCCGATCTATGGTTAACCGGCCCTTCGGCCCCAGTTGAACTATGTTAATAGTTGAACTCTGTTCCGGGGCACTACTTAAGGGCGCATTGGGCCAGCCGGTTTCTCAATCGTACAGATGTGCATGTCCATCAGCGAATCAGAAATGACTTGTACGCTTGTACGGAAGCGCTCTTAGTTCAGTTCGGTGTTCATATCAACTCATATTCGTTGAACGTAGTTAGATTTTTTGAAACAAATCGTTACACTCTAGCCACTTCGTACCTCTTCGAATGAGTTGAACATAGTTCAACGAAATGAGTTTCACTATGTGAAACGAATCTCTATTCTCTGTTCTCTTTCCCCTTGGTTCCCATGCCATTGGTTCCCACTCCACAAATCGATTTTGACTTTGGAGTCAAATTTTGACTCTAAAGTCAAAATCGACTTGTGGGGTGCAATTGAAGGGGGTGGGGGTGTGTTTGGGGTCGGAGCGGGGTGGAGAGGTTTACCGGGGGTTAGGAAGGGTAGAAACCGTCAATTTTACGAACGGGACACCGGAGCGCCTCCGGGTCATCCCATGACATTGGTTCCCAATGTCATGAGAACCTTCCCCTATTTATTAATTTATTTATTTATTTAGAATTGTCAAACTAATTCTATTTTCTTTATATATTTTTATCAGTTATTTAATAAAATAAAATAACATTTTTGTTACTTGTTTTGTATAGTTTTTTAAATTGTTTTTAATTTATAATTTTTTTTAAATTCTTCACCAATTTTTATTTGTGTTAATTCGGATATTGTTGTGATATTTTATTTACTTGCAAGTGCACGAACCGTACAAAAGTATAGCAACGCAAATAGGAGGTCGATCCCATAGAGACTTGAATATGTGAAGAATTTTATTCTAGATTCAATTGAATATTTCTAATCTAATTGGAAAAAATTTAATACGGAGTATTTAAAAACAGCTAAATGTGAAAGTTAATAATTTAAAAAAACTTAAATTAAACAAAAACTAAAGATTTTACTAACTACTAAAAACTAAGAGATCAAAAATAAGTCTTCAAATATGAGAAAGAACTAGGACCTCGAATCCACTTATATATTCAAATTTAATTTTACTCAATCATTAATTTCTTCTAAACTTACTATGCATGATAATCTTGCAACCAATTCTCGTTATCATGGAAGATATATCAATTAAGCCCTAAAAAAATAATTTCTATAGTTTGCTATTTTTCAAAGTTTTAAGAGAAATTCAAATCATTAATTGTATCTCAACAAGAAATCACAACTAATATCCTTTCTTTTAACTTGTCAAACAATCATCAAGATTATTCAAAGCATGAGAAAAACATGATTGAACTCATCTAAAAATTAACCCTAATAATCAATAGCAAAAAGTGATTAGGAATCCTAAGGAACCATCAAGTAAGGAAATGCTCAAAGAATTTTTCATGGTGAAATGGAGATACAGAGTAATTTTTTAAGTCATTTTTTCAATTCACCGTTTTAACCTGATTATTTACAAAATTATATCTCACCATTTATGAATATTCTTAAATAACTTATCTACGAGTATTATTTAAGTCATTTTATCTTCACAGAAGAATTTCTAACTTATAAGGAATTTATAAGTTAAAAACTGTTTATCAACTTTAAATCAATAAGCGTCATTAGCCCAATACAAGACACCTTCTAGTGTGTAGGGACTAGTGATAGTAAGGAAAGTCAAAACCCTTTTTCACCATCCTTGATAAGTGTGATGGATAGAAATAACAAGTGTTTGTCCTTAATTCTCAAGAAAGAAATGGTACGAAATATACTCCTTCCTTCTCAACATAAGACCTCTATTCAGTTTAAACGAAGTTATTTTTGAATCAATATAAGTAAAATTAGTGTAGAATTAAAAAATAAAAATTATATATTAAAAACTTTATAAAAAATTATACAAGACAAGTGAGTTAGTTTGAAGAAAATATAAAATTAAAAACTAAATAATGGATAAAAATATAAAGAAAATAGAATTATTTTGACCAGTGAATAGTAGTTAAGAAAATAGAGTTATTAAAGAAAGTCAAAGTCCTTATTCACTATCCTAAATGAGGGTGATCGATAAAAATGACAAACTTGATGCACCCCAACAATTTACAGAGATCAAAAAGACAAATAAAATAAAGTCATACCCTTTGACCTTTGTCCCCCCTGCAACTGATTTTTATTTAAATGGAAGGTGTACAGACCAAACGGGCAACAATCAATACGCATACATACAGCTAACACAATGCCATTTCTACAGCTGAAATAGTCATCCCCAAAAAAGAGGGATCTCAACAAGGTTTTATTTCAAATCCAATGCTCAATAGACTTTTACCCGAGTTCGCGTTTGGCTCTCCTTCCTGCTCCGATTTCTCACCTGTCAACGCGGCGCGGTCTTTGTCCACTGGCCACTGGGTGGTGGTGGGAACTGAGTGAAGAGAAGTAGGTGGGTCGTACGGTTTCTTGGGCATGGGCATTTCGTGATCGTGCACGTCCTTGTAGGTTATTATGACGACACTCGAGTTGCCTACTGCCCTCTCCATGTGCTTCCGAACTGGACATCCAGCTGATGTGCACCGGTAGTAGTTCCTGACATTGAAATGGGAGTAAAAAACGGGTTAGAAATGCATATAGATAGACAAATGGCATGGTACAAGTTGTTGAGTAGTGGATTATTTTGACACAGGTAATGAGTGTCATAATATAAACAGACCATTTGAGGGTGCTACAGTGCTTTGTTGGACTCCAAAGTCGTTCCAACCCCTTGCCCTTGCCCCACTGCCCCTTCTTCATTTTGCCAATATGCTACAATATTGTGAAATGGAGAGAGAGCTGGGCAGGGGTTATGCCATTAGGGGAGGTAGGAATCACTATGGGTCCAACAGAGCATCATAGCACCCTGGTGTCATTTATGACACCCAAAATGGGTGTCCAAAGAACCGGAGTGTATTGAGTATGCACTTTAAATACTCCGTACTGAGTATACGTGTGAGCAGAGTTCTAACAAAGCATTAGCGACTAAGCAAGCGGTAGGATATAGAGTGAAGTACTGGGACTTCACCTGGGATGAGGATTCCCCTTGACCATTTTCTGGCCATACTTGCGCCACTTATATCCATCACTTGAGATTCCCACATCACGAGACACATGAACAACCATTTTTGCTTTCTTGTCAGGATTAGGAAGAAACTCAGAGCACTTTGGTGAATTTTTTTTCTTCAATCTGAAATTTCAAAGGTGAACGGTGTCGGGTGTATTAGTGTGTATATAGGGTTTTTTTAGAATTACTCCCTTTGGTCACTTTCTTTTGGACTCAACTTGGTCATTGGCTATGCAATTCAAACTCAACTTTGTACTCATGCAAGATATGCTCTAAATAATAAGGGTATTTTCATATGTTGGAGGCTAAAATAGGTCATAAGCACATAGTCTATGGCCGCCAACTTCAGTCTTGAAATTGGGCCTAAATACAGCGGGCAAGCAAAGATACTTCTTAGTTCCTACTCTGTATTTTTAGAGCCTTGCAAAACCAAGGACCAACCAGAGTCCAACTCAAGTCTGAAGACGAAATTGAGTGAAAGTGTACAGTTGAGGGACTACTCAGGAATTAACTCTCTCTCTCTCTAATATTTGACCAGACTTGCCTTGGAATGCAAGTAGAAACATGTTTTTATGCAACGAAAGTTCCACAAACTCACCTTTTATTCTGTGCTAGTCCATCACCATCCCCCCCTTTAACATTAGTTGCAGGATTGTCATTCCATCTAGTTGGTTCGTGCTCCCTAAACTGTGATATTGGTTTTGGTTCTTGTACATGCTTCTTTCCGGTTGATGATAGCACTGCCGCATCAGAACTACTATTCAAATGAGCTATTTTACTATCGTGACTAGGAAGCGAGGGTGAGAGTGTATGCTTAGTTTCTCTTGGAATATTTACTTTCTGTGGCGGCTCATGATTGTGAGTATTTCTATAAACTGTCTCCGTGACACGGTGCATGTGATCAGAGTACTCGATCTTTTTTGCATGGCAATCAGAATATGTGCATCTGTAATAGCTCCGGGAACCTTGATGAGGACTCTTCACTTGCTTTTGACCATATTTCCTCCAATTGTACATGTACCCATCAGGAGGTGAAATTTTCAAGACAGGCACCGAATAAAACAACTTAGGACAGGAAGACTTTTGGTTATCTTCTACTTCCTGCATGCACTTGTCAGTCATGTTCTCTCGTGGACATAATAATCTTTGCTCTCCCAGAGTTGGGCTGGGGATGGACAAAATAGACTGCGTGACTGAAGTCGGAGATAGTTCCAACTTGGACTGAACAGTTGAAGCTTCCTGGGCAGAGAAGACAACGTCATCCTAAAGAAATTAATATAACATCAACAGAAATGTTCATCTTATGAATATCATATGAACATATTTAGACTCCCAATAACCCATGCTACCGTCACAGGAACAGCTCCAAATGAATTCGTGTTGATTCAATAAAACATAGCTGAAATAAAAGCACCCATAGTCATTCCAATGTTAAAATTCTCAATCTCGTTTTTTGGGTATGTTTGGATCCATGAAATGCTAGGCAAACGAAATGGAAATGCCAAGAGAAAATGATTTCTCATGTTCAAGTTTCCCTTGGAGAATGCGAAGGAAATCATGGTACGACT